GCTCCACCACCAACACCACCTCCGACTCCACCACCGATACCACCTCCAGCTCCACCACCAACACCACCTCCGACTCCACCACCTATACCACCTCCAACACCACCTCTACCTCCACCGCCTACACCACCTCCAGCTCCACCACCTACACCATCTCCGGTTCCACCGCTAATTCTACCACCAACACCTCCCCCTACACCACCGCTAATGGTGCCACCAACACCACCTCCCATTTTAGCGCCCTTACCAATTAACCCAGTCTTCTCATTGTCATCTCTCACATTTCTAGCGATCACTGAGGTTGCCACAAAGTAAACGCATAGTAATGACAAAATTTTCATCTTCCCCTTTGCCATTCTAAAGAAATGTTTCGGAAAAATATAAATTATTTCTTTTGTGAACTACTACGAAGCTTAATGCTCAGTATATATAGTGTGTATGTCAGTGTTTCATATTCAAACAAATCATACATATATTCTCTCCATCCCTGAGCATTTGTTCATTTTTTATTTTTTCCTGTTAAAGTTGATAATCTTTGACATCAAATTAAATAAAAATTATATTAGATTCTGATACAAAAATAGTTTTATTAGATTTTTTATCAAATATTTTTAAAATATCATTTTATATAATTAATATACAATATATATTTTATTTAATTATAGATCAAAAGTTAAAAAATATTGACAAAAAAGTCAAAATTAGACAAATACTGGGGACGGAAGGATTAATTAATTTTCTCAACCCAAACCTAATTTCCTCTTAGTTAAATTAACTTGAAGTCTTCGGCCTTAAATGTGGAACAGGCACTTCTTCATGCATGACAATTTTTTTCTCATAGCTCAGGAAAACTCTCAAGAAAACAAGGCCATTATGATTTAGTTTTCACAACTCTATTTTGACAAAGTTATAATAATTCCATGCACGTAATTAATTAATTTACAAGTAGATGCAATTAGTCTCTAGAATTAATAAGGACGCTAAGTAGTACGAGTACTAAAGTATTCGTTTTCCACTTCTCTAGAATTAAAAAAAAGTCTACCAGCTGGCAAATCCAAAAAAAAAAGTATCCGGGGCACTATTGGCATGCAACGCCTCCCAAATTTTATAAAGGCTATTTTAAAGAGAATTTACCTAAATAATACTTCGTAATAAAAAATAGTGAGTTTTCTAATGTAGTATCATATATTTTTATTTCCAAATGTAGTACGAGTGGTTATTATCCACTGGTCATTGTTTAAGTAAATATCCACCTCCACCAGGAATTGTTTAAACTAAATGTCCACCATCAGTGGATATTGTTCCCGCCACTAGACATTATTCAAGAACTATTTAGAGAAATAAAAAGTTTAAAATTACTACAACGGAAAATGACATATATTTTAGTACTATTTTAAATGAATTTCTTAGGTGCAAACCACGAGTATCTAGGTCTTTTTTCCGCCTGTCTTACGGTTCAGGCTCACCCGACTAATCCCCATTCGCTTCGAAAGGCCGCAAGAAGAGAGTTGGCACAAGGGGAATTGAATCGTCACTGGCCGGTGAGAATCCAATCTGAGTTAAATCATTTAAAAACGAGTAAATTCTCTAAGTAGTCCTTTATAAATGGAGGGTTTCCATATTTAGTCTACATTTATCAAATATTAAGTAGACAGTCCTTTTTAATTGGGTACCCTTCCACGTTTAGTCCTCCGTCTATTTTTCCATCTCCGTGCCATTAGACAAGGGTCAAACGTGGAATGGTACCCAATCAATAAGGATCACGAAAATAAAATTTGATAATATGGACTAAATATGGAAATTCCCCCGTTATAAAAAACTTTTTGGAGAATTTGTTCTTTTTAAACTACTTTTAATATAAAAATTAATAGATAGGAAAAATGTTTAACTATAGTTTATTTATAAAAAATCAAAATTATTTGTACACCACAAAAAATAGTTATCAAAAAATTCAATTTTTAATACGAGAATCTATTCGAAACTGATAGGAATTAAAAAGATATTCGAAGTTATTACCCCTTTTTAATAACGTAAGAGCTTCAAATTTTTATCTCCAAAATAAGAGTATAATGCTAATAATGCCAATATATAACAATGTCATTATGTCACAGTGCAAACTTGTATATTGAGAAAAAAAATGAAATTCTTATTTTGAGGATAGATGTTATATTTGCTCCTATTTAGGATGATTTCAAATTACTTATTAATTCCCATATCTTCCAAGATAATTCTCATATTAAAAAATAATTTTTTTGGTAAATTATTTTTAATGATAATTTTGACTTTTTATATACAAACTACATTCATATCCTTTTCATATTTGTTACTACCTTCGTCCCAGAGTATTGATCTACTTTTGAGTTTTTGTCAAAATCGGTAATCTTTGACCATGAATTAAATAAAATAAATATTATATATTGATAAAAAAATAATTTTATTGGGTTTATGTAAATAATTTGATTTAATTATATGTCAAATGTTAGAAATGGTTGACTGTAAAAAACTCAAAATTGGACAAAATACTCAAAGACAGAGGTAGTAATTTCAATATTAAAAATGGTGTTAAAAAAGTAAACTCTCCAAATAGTCCTTTAATTTATAACGGGAGAATTTCCATATTTAGTCCATATTATCAAATATTATTTTTGTGGCCCTTATTGATTGAGCTGAGTATCATTTCACGTTTGGTCCTTGTCTAACGGCAGGGAGACAGAAAAATAGACGGAGAACTAAACATGGAATGATACCCAATTAATAAGGACTGTCAATATAATATTTGATAAATGTGGACTAAACATGGAAACTCCCATTTAAAAAGGACTATTTAAAGAATTACTCTTTAAAAAATCATACCACGTATCAAATAAGTATTCACATAATTAAAATAGAATACCAAAATATAGAAAAATATAATTTATCGATCATAACCTTGTTTAATCATCATATTTTACTCTTGGGTTCTATTTAAACAATAATTTGTTTCTCATCAATATATACATAGTACGGTGTAGATTAATTTATGCAGTATGTTATTACTGTTGGTTCCCTTGTTGTTTTCTCAATTTTGTGTTGGCGTTATTTTTGACAAAAACCATGAGTCATAGTTTATATGTTTCTGTCTTAGCTTTGTTTCATAGAACTTTAGCGTCATGTCCGTCACCCTACTAGTCCAAGTGAGTCTGGGACTGTTTCTTACCTAGTCAAAGGAGGATTCTGGTCCGAGCTGTTAAATTGTCCTAGCCACTACCTGATGGAAACTTGATTTCAAAAGGAGTTGGCACACGCTACAAACTCTCATTGGGTATGGACAATTGCATATTGGAGAGAGGTTACGCAAGAACTCTACCGGATAACTATGCGTTGAAGTAGAGTTACACAAGGACTCTACTAAGGTTGATCACGCCTTAGAGGAGTATAAATATACGACTGACCTGCTATCTTTGGTGTGCGAGAAAATATTGAGAGTCAGCGAAAGAGAGAAAAACAGATCTAAATACTACAGGCATCTACTGATCAATTATTCATCGCTGGATTGCAGAAGGATGCTTCTGCTGGAAGATTAACGTGCGTTCCAGAAGGTTGAACTGAGTAATACTGGAGCGTAGGACAGTGGCACGTCACAGACAAGTTGATAATTGTTTCAGTCTTGGCATGCATGCACAAACCGAGTCTGTTGCAATCCCATTGTATTATAGAGTTTAGATCAATGATTAGATCGAGTCTATTGATATTGAGGGTGTAAACTCTACAGTGATATAGTGGGAAGGCTGTTCCACTGATGTGGGCCTCGCAGACATAAGAATTTGCTCCGAACTGCGTAAACAATTTGCTTGTTGTGTTTGTTTCTTTTTGTTCTTAATTGTTTGTTTCTGTGATGGAGTGGTTGGTATAGCACTCTGTCTGACAACTCAGATCGTGTCAGTGCTATAGCATCCTCTGTAACAACCTTCAAGGATTTAGACTTTACACGTTGTGGACTGAGGGTGGTAAAACTTTCAATTACTTCAATTATAGTGCTTTGATAATTTCAATTTTCTCTAATTTGTCTTTCTCTTATTAATTTTATTCACGGGGAATTTACTTAAGTAATACTAAAAGATAGTGACTTTTCCAATATAGTACCAAATGTTTTTATTTCCTAATGTAGTACTAGTGTTCAATGCCCAGTGGTCATTGTTCAAGTAAATGTGTACCGCCACTAGACATTGTTCAAACTAAATGTCCAACATCACTGAGCATTATTGTTCCCGCCACTAGACATAATTTAAGTACGGAGTACTTTTTAGAGAATAAAAAAGTTTAAGTACTACATTGAGAAATGACATGTTTTAGTACTATTTAGTGCAAATTTCACTGGGGAATTTACCTAAATAGTACTAAACATTCTCAATGCAGTACCATATGTTTTTATTTACCAATGTAGTACCACTGTTCAATATCTACTAATTATTTTAAAGTAAATGTCAAGCGCACTGGACATTGTTCAAACTAAATGTCTACCACCATTGGACATTGTTCCCTCCATTAGACATTATTCAAGTACTATTTAGAGAATAAAAAAGTTAAAGTACTACAATGGAAAATAACATACTCCCTCCGTCCCAGAAAATCTTTCTCCTTTCTTTTTTCATCCGTCCCAAAAAATACTTCTCATTTCTATTAAAAAGTCACTTTTACCCCTTACTTTTTCCTACCCTACATATCAGATCATACCTTTTTACTAATAATCTATCCATCAAATCATACTTTTATCCATCACACCAAAGGACATTTTTGGAAATTCAATACTAAAATACATTCTCCTTAAATCTCCCTTCAAAATCAAAACTCCCATGTTTTCCGGGACGGAGTGAGTATATTTTAGTACTATTTAATGCAAATTTCACTTTTTTTGAATTTTGGACAATAAATCCTAGGAAAAAATAAAGTAAAAAAATGTGAAATATATACACACACAAAGAAGGCATGAACATATATTATACTCCTTCTGTTCCTAAAAAAATTATTTACAGTTAGATTTTTGGAGCTGAGTTGGTTCTTTGACATAATATCAAAGTCTTGTTGACAAAGAGATCTTGAGTTCGAATCTAACCACCATGCCGTCTTTAAAAAATTAATGTTCACGTGCAAGGTTCGGTCAAAAAAAAATCGCCTACACGTAAGGGGCATGTTAGAGTATATAAACCTATCATGGGACTACAACTACAAGTTCAAGCTTGTAGTTGTGGTCGATAAAAAGTTATTATACTCTAAATAGTTGTGACCATAGGCTAGAATGCTTCAGGTTTTATACCACCTTGCGTCCTGTACCGTTTTATTCAAACAATTGGTCTACAAGCCTATCTTTCTTTGTCCCTTAGTATTTGGGATCAGGGTAAAACCAAACAAATTTGGGTTGTCTTGCTCTTTTTTTGTCCAAAGTTAGAGTTAAAAGTATATAATACTTAAGGGGGATGCAACCGACCTTGAGTTGCAAAGTAGTGAAAACCAGGGCCAGCCTGGCCCCAAGTTTTTAGGGGTCCATTTTTTGTATTATAAATACGTAGTATAGTTTTTTTTTGAGTAAATTTCCAAAATGATCGTTTTTAATAAAGTATTTTCCTAAATTAGTTCTCAATAAGCAATAATTACTAACGTGATCCTTTATAATTGAGATTTATTCCCTAAATAGTCTTATGTCAAAAGTGTTTGTTAAATATCAGTTAAATGGAGAGTATTTTTGGGGATAATAACGATAATGCAGATCAATCGAGAGTCGTGTATAGCACTTTGAGATTGAATATTTTGGTTGTTCAATCCAAAACTCAATCGGATAAAACTCGAAAGTAACATGAACGAATATGAGGTTAGAGTGAATTTTTTACCCCTATTTCGACCAAAGATTTCTGGGAATATATAGAATTGCAGTGGAGAAGAAAACACGCGATCACGTCTTTTATCTAAGATGTGCGATCCTTCGCATGAAATTTTGAACAAATCGATGGTATCTTTTAACAATTTTTCTTTTTAAAGAAAATTCGAAAATTAAAAATTCAAATGAATTTTTAACATAGCACTTTGCCCAATAAAAAAATTTCAAGCCAGGGGCTCTGCCCCTTGGACCCCACAAGGGCTGCCGCCCCTTGAACCCTGCTCGGGGGCGCTGCCCCCGAAACCCTGCCAAGGGGGCGCTGCCCCCTTGGAACCCCTGTTGAAACGAGACTTTTATCCTAACAAACTAAACAAAGCGTGCACTCCGCACCACCAAACTTCTTTGATGATTATTAGGATAACATTGGTCATAGTTTTTCCAATTACACTAAAATATACTCCCTCCGTCCCAAAAAGTCTTTCATGTTTCATTTTTTGCGCATCCCATAAAACACTTCTACCGACATCTAAAATGTCTAAAATTTATAACATTTCTTCTTTATAGTGGGTAGAAGTTATTTTGAAAGTTTTTTTGGCATTCAAGGCGGGATAGAAATGTTTTATGGGATGCGCAAAAAATGAAACAGGAAAGACTTTTTGGGACGGAGGGAGTATAACATTTGCATCATCTAAACTATGATTAAAGTCCTCAGAATGGTCCTTTAAAATTAAATGTGTGGTTGCTAGATGAATGAACCTACCCCAAATATACTTATGGACTCCATTTTGGGAAAATATTTACTTAGAAAGTATTAATTTGGAAAAAATATTTAATTATAAAGAAGCATTTCGGGAATATACTTTAAGTCCAGAAAAAAAGGCTAAAGTTGGAGTAAAACATTGAAAATATACCAAAATTGGAGTTCCATATTTTTTCTCAAAATAGGAGTTAAAATACATTTACATTAACAATCATGACCATGTACATTACCAAAAAGTATAGTAGAATGCTCAGGTAGAGTGCCACATTACTACAACGCAAACTCTTATTTATGGAATAAAAACTGGAACTCCAATTTTGGTACATTCTATATGTTTTACTCATATTTAGAGTGATTTCTTTAAGTCTATATAGAAAATACCAAAATACCTTTTATTTGACAGACATTTAATAGCCATTTTTGCCAGCAAACTATTTAGGGAATGTCTCAATTACAAAGGACCATGTTGGCAATTATTTCTATTATTTCTTATTGAGAAATAATTTAGAAAAACACCTTATTTTTAATTTATAGTTTTGAAGAACTTTTTATGTAGATCTTTTTTATTATTTTTATTCATCATGAAATAAGATGATACAAAATAGAATAAATAAGCCAAAGTAAGGAAGATACAATCACACTCCTCTAAATAACTACAAGTTTTAAACCAATTTCTTCAATCTCGGCTACTTGATAATTGATATTGGTCCATTTAGTTTTAAGGCATAGTACGTCCATACTCCAAAGTTGCATATTTTCATGGAATGCACATTTAGAAAAAAACTAAAACAATCCAACACAAATTCCTTTTCAAGTCATCACACATTCACCTTCAAACCATAAAGCATTACATTCTTATTAAACTACAGTGCATCCCATCATTTAACTACTATAGTGCACCCTAAGTTGGGCACTTTGCATTACTAACAATTATATATATTTCCACCCGCACGGGTAGCTCAAGTGGCAAACACTTGGTGAAGTTTGGAGAATGACCAAGGATCGAAACCTGGCAGCGACCGTTGTGGAGGCGACCACCTCTGAAAAATGGGGGAGTCTCTGGTGCGCACTAGGATATGGTCTAGCTAAGTGTTGTGCTTGGGTCACCGTGATTTACCTCCTCTCACATTTCCGTCGGGTCGGGGGTGAGGGGCGCCCGGGGTGAGCGATTTCACCTTTTGGAGAATTATATATATTTCCAATGAATTTTTTATTCCAACAGTGATGCACTTTTACTTTTAATAAATAACTCAGCCACATCATAAATGACATTTGCAACAACCGTGCATTCAAAACTACCCTGCACTGCATTTTCGCCTAATGCGGCTACACACCATGAAACCCTAAAATCTCAACTCAAAAAAACCCTATAATTGCGTACTCCTAAAAACCCCAAATTCAAATTTCATCCAAAACAAAATTGTTGGTGATGAAATCTGAAAAACAAAAGGAAATAAATTGTGTATGGATCATCCGCTCAAAAAAATAATCAAACTTATGAAACAAAAAAAGTCAACATACCTAAAGACAGTGCATCATTGATGCATCTCTCTGCATTTTCATCATCATCAAGTATAGGCGGTCTGCAGAAATTTTTATTTCTCTTCCATGATTATCTTCTTCTCCAACAAGATTTCCTGCCCAATTGAAGAAAAATCAAGGCAATCACCGGTGGAATCATAGACCCGAACATTGACCTTGAACCTAAGACACAAAGTATTGTTATTTTTAAATTTCAGTACTAATTAGTTCAAAATTTATAAAATTGTACTCCCTCCGCCCCTGTATTTGTCCACTTTCATTTTTACACACCATCCAATGCACTTCTTTAATTCATTTTATCTTGTAATTTGTATATTAAAAAATTATAGAAATTATATATTAATAATCTATATGTTAAGACAAATCAAACAAGATCACACATGACTATATTTAGGCTTACACATTGAGAGAATTTGATGAGTCAAAGTGCTTAGATGAACAGTTCCAAAAGTCAAATGTGGACAAAAATAGGGGGACGGAGGGAGTAATTATTTATAAATGATGCTTACCTGTACACTCCATGCAGCATGGTAGTGTTGCACCCCAAACACTTGAACTTATCACCATCACGGATGACCTTTTTGTTGCAGTCGGTGCATCCTAAATAGCTCCAGTCGCCCGAATCATTTATTGAAGCAATCTTACCAACAATCCAGTAGGGACCGGGCTATAAAACATCAAACACAAATTTTAAGACTTTTATATAAGACTTTTGAAAATTAAATTTAGAATTTTTAACACGTCACCTCTGTAGTGTCCAAGAGAGCTTTGATCGTGGTAGTCTTGATAACACCTTCATCCCCATCAGCTTCAACGCTTAGAACGATACATCCAATTGTTCCAACGTCATCCACTTGTAGAGGCAACCTGGATACATAATTTTTTTTAGATGAGGTGTAAACATCCTTTAAAATTAATTCAGTATTTTTATTTAAAAAATATACCTTGCTCTGAATTCGTTGACCTCTGGAGAGTTACCATCGAAAAGCATCTTCGTAACATGAAACGCAGAAGAGACGGTCACAGTACCTATAAACATATGATGTAATATTATATATCCATCATTAAAGTAGTTAAAATAAAAAATAAAAGAAATAATTTACCCATATAACGACGTGGTTTGCAAAAGCTCAACAACATGATCACCGGTTCTTGAGCATTTTGGGTCAAACAATCCAAAAAACGATCCACATACTCTCCCCATAGAGTGCATCCCAATCGATTTCCCCTATAATATCATTTCATTGCTCAAATCTGAATAAATTATTTTTCACTAAATGACATTATTCTCTTATTTATATTCATACTCATGATCCTCAAGTGTGACTTCCATGAATTTTTGTTCTCCGGCTCTAGTAATGGTTGTTTGAACCTTAGTTCGGGCAACAATCTTTCCAATCACGTCTGCATAAATATAGCTCTTAATATAAGACATTTGTATGATTGATTTAAAAACTGTTTTGGATATAAAGATATTGGGACATATTTTAAAAGTTGTTGAGAAGAAGGATAATATGTTGTGTACTGCACAGATTTTAAAAAACAGTGCTGGGGGCTTAATATAATTTTTCATATGAATGAAACTGTTTATAAAACTGAACAAAATTTCGAAGGGCACAAATTTTTTTTAAAAAACGTGTGGTGGCAGATTCATTTATTGTTTCATTTGTACGAATTTTTAAGAAATAAATATGCTTAACCTTTGAAAAAGAAATGAAAAAGTTTTAAAATTTTTCTCAATGAAATAATACCAATCAAAACTTGATCATTTAAACATGGTTGACTTTGAAGAACTGGAAATGGTTTTAAATCAAACATGATCCATGGAAAATCACTTCGATTCAAAGTTTTCACTTCCGTATCTCTGAAAAAACCCAAGAGCTTATCATTTGCGGATGTTTTCAAACTTTGATAGTTGTCGTGAACATGAACATTTCGAATGACATAAACACCATCTTCGGTGATTTGGGTTTCAAACTTCTTTTTTTCCGGGCGGTTGAGATGTGTATGAATCCTCGTTCCCTGTAGAAAAGGTAGATGTTATGAGTATTTGAGTGACACATTTGCAATTTGAGTGATACAATGTAAGTAATGCAATTGATTAAAAATGTAATAAGTTCGTGAATACAATACATGCTCATCGTGAAAGACGATCTCCATAGAATCTCCGCCTCTCGCCCACATTGGAACAAAGTAGACACGAATAGCCCTTAACTTGAGAATCCAAGTTGTACGGTTGTTGTCAAGCTCGGAAATCGGAGTAAACATTGTCCTAGAATTTCTTTGAGAATTTTCGGCCATCTCAAGGAAGTAAAAGAACTCAAATATGGTGGAAGAGTGAGTTGGTGTGTTTATACGGTTACATTCAAAAGTATTCAGGCATGGTGAATATATAATGGCTTTGTGAATCAAGTAATTGAAAGCACATTAAATGCTTAGATTGTGCAAATCTATTTAAGTTATTGATTTGATGTAAAGTGTGGTCTAAACTTGATGCATCACGTGGCTCAATAAAGCATGATTTTTCTACTTTATGGAGCCTCACACCTAGCATAGAGTAGAACCTAAAAATAGATGTCAAATGTGGACTCATTTTTGGCCCATATTACCAGTTCAGCCAGCCCACACTGTAGCTGCAAAAAGAGCGGAACACTGTTCACAATGCCCTCTTAGAACAACTCCAACGGGGAGTTTAAAATTCATTATATGCTAAAAAATAAAAGATATGCCCTTTACTATTCAATAAAAGTGTCTCCAACGCATCTGTTAAAAAATACACCCTAATCTATTTCTGCATTCCCATATGCTAAAAATAGATGATACTGTAGGAAAGTGGAAAAGCCCGTCTATTCGTCTCCTTCTATCTGCTCCCTGTTATTTGCTCTCCCAACGGCCAACACTACAAGTCACAGATTTGGGGAGCACTTCTGGAGTTGAATTCTTTTGTTTTGATGCTGCCAACTGCGCCTCCCAATCATGTGAATTTACTTTTGATATTGCAAAGCGAAGCAATCTTTTTTTGTGGATTTTGTTCGTAGATTTGAAAATTTTGTTGTTTTGATCAAAAATCCAAAATTTTCCTCAATTTGCAATTCAATTATTTTAGAAGATCACAATTTTTTTTGTAGATTTTGCTGGTAGAGTACAAATTATACCATTAATTAAATATTAAAATAATAAAATATTATAAAAGTGTATTATATAAAAGATATGATTGGAGTGGGTATAAAAAAATGAATGGCTAAAACACTATATATTGGAAAGCTAAAAAGGCAAATAGAAGACCAAAAAATAGCTCACCCCTTGGAGATGCTGTTAGCATTGTTACAGTACCCCTACGCCGTTACTGCCTACAACGAAGAAACCGCTGTATTTCATTTATCCTTGAACCATCCGCAAATCACCATCAAAATATCAAATCTGCGGATTCCCGGCGAGGCACCAGTTATGATGCATCATACTCAGACGAAGTAAGAAGGTAAGTATATCAATTGTTGGTATGATTTGTACTATTTCTCCGCCTCTCTATGTTCCGTTTGAGGCTCACTGGCTTAATCATCGATTGATGATGTGTCTTCTGATTCTCTGTACTTCTTAATTATAGCAAAACACATATTTCCCGGCGATTAAGCAGCAACCCAGGATACTCAAACGCAATAACAAGTTGATTAGATCAGATGTGCAGATTTCCGGGTACCATTCGAAGAGTTTTCTGATTCTTCATGTTCCATTTCTAGATCAGTAGGTTAATTATCGCTGCCTCAATAGGTATATTAGTTATTTCGTTAGGTTTTATCTTTGTTGTTTGTCCCAATTACAAAAACTTTAGAAAGAATATTTTTGAATCAGAGGTACATCATAATTTGTGAGAAGCTAGAACATCATCCATGAGGTAATTTTAATTCAATCCGTTATTTGTACAATGCAACACCTTTAATAAAACCAGTAATTCAATATATTTAATTACTTATAGGGTATTATGCAAACAAAACTTCTTAAATAGAACAATTCTCAAGCTCTTTCTTCGTATATAATTGTGGTGTGATATGCTCCTGTATGATTCTTTTTATCTTTGTTGTTCGTCCCATTTACGCACCGTTGAATTCTGATGTATTTTCCATTAGTACTTTGTATTCTCTAATGGGTTTTAAATCATGTGTTATTTTAAAAAGTGTACATTGATAAGAATTTATTCAATGTACGGGCTTTGAAGTAGTTTAACAATTTATAAGAAGATCAAATTGCATGGATATTTATCTAAATGGAGACATCAATAATATTGCTTTTCTTATCCCTTACAGGGAAAATATTACCATCATATTCAGGGATACTTGTTGTTGTCAGAACCATTCTGTGAGGACTTCAAACATTTTTTAGTTGTAAAAAGTGCATCTCTGTTAGAAGATGAAGACCCCTAAAACTCCAGAGGTATATCGTTTGGAACAAACACAAAGAATGACCAATAACATTTTCTTAAAACACACCTTGCCCAAATTTGTTCATTTAAAAAATGCAATTGGTCATTCCCTATGTGATTTATTACAATTTATTTTGTAAATATACTAGAGCATATGGTCTCACACCTTTTCTTTATGAAGAAGTATAAAAAAACCCTTGAAAATATTTTAAATTTTATTTTTTAAAATAGATCTTTGTTTCATGTGGTTGGGTGTAAGGTATTCCTTCCAATACCCAACTATATTTGAATGAATGAACCCCTTAATAAGTGTGATCACTAAGATCGATTACACTGAAATTTCTCATAGGAACACAGAGAAGTGGCACGAGAAGCTGGTGCAAATCCTTAGTTCTATTGAAGAATGGGAAGAGCCACTACAAGCCATTTCTTCCCAAAGAAAAAAGAATGCCAAAAATTTCATTTTTGCAGGTACTAATGCTAATGACCTTGGATACAAGTGTGGACGCTGGACTTCTAAAACTTGTTAGTGGCAAAATCACTATTCGTAAGTTTTGTGTTTAAGTTGAAGTCACTTAGGCAAACCATACTAAGACATTTTGGAAATCACTAAACCAATGAATCCAACCATACCCCAAGAAAGGGTGAAAAAGTGGACCCCCTCACATTGTTTATTTGTTTTCTTCTTTATCTCCATTTTGCTTGCTTAGTTCACACTTTTTAAAAAGGCATTCCTTAATTTATAGTTGATTACTTTCAACTATCAATTTAATCATTTGGATACTTACGATCAAGAATTTGTTATGGACATGGTCAAGGTGGTTAAGCTATTAACATGTTAAAGTGGACACAATAACTTATTCGAGGAAGCTTCATCTACCAGGTGAGGGTTTGAGACATGAATATTGATGACTCCCGTTTCTAAAATATGCTATAGTAGTTCATGTGATTGCCTTTTGCAGTGCTCTACAGTGTATTTTCTTCACCACCGTATTTTATCCCAGGTACACCATTCCATTTTTATTTGTCTCTATTCATCATGAACACCCCCCCCATATCATTTAATTTGCCTCTCATAATTTGGACCTGAGTTTAACTCCACATAAATTATTGCACTTATACAATAAAAGAGTGGCCAATGGCCACCTTCTAAAGTATTGGACATAGCTCCACCTTCCTTCAACCTATTGCTAACTAATATGTATTCCTGACTCTCGGTGCATTAGGGGCAATGCTAAATCTGTCAAGAACGTACCTCCTAAACTCAAGATTTGGAAATGGATTTCTCCACTTCAATAGGATTGGATGTCGAAGGTTTGGACATTGGGTTACAGCTGAATAAGGACATGACCCTAAATAGAAGACTTAGGACAATGCCTTATAGGGGTTTGTGTACTTGTGTTCTGTTATTTACTTATTTGTCACCACATTCTCCACTTCACCACTTGTGGAACCTCACTAGGTTCTTGCTGTTTTTTCCATTGATGCAGAATGTGATGAAGCACCTTGATTAGTGTTGAAAATTAAAGGATCATCCACGATGTGTTTACACAATCACTTTCAACTCAAGCGGCGACATTCTGGTGTCTAGCTGTGATGACAATGAAGTAATTTTGTGGGACCGGGCAACAAATAAATCAAAAGTATCATATCTGTCATGACACTTCGATATTATTGATGATTGAGTTTTTCGGTAAGTCAACCTTCCCAATAAAGGGTTAGTTTTCTCCGAGTGTCGTGTCTCTCGAGGAGTGGACGAAAGGAATTAGCTAATTTTTCTAACTAGACGAAGGTTAGGACGGGTCTGAAAGTCTTCTCTTTTCGATTTGAAAAATAAAAATACTATACTACTAATCGCTTTTGAGAAAAATAAAATAAATAGTACGGGTATAGGACTAGACTTTGGGCCAAGGCATCATCTCAGTTAACTACTGTTGTCACATATTTAATCAATAATTGGAATAAATATATTTCCGTCACAAATATTTCATTAACTTAACCTCTCTCAAGGTATCATTAATGTGTTCTAAAAAGTTTGGCTTAATTAATTTTATATCCTCATGGACAAGGCAAAAACTAATTTCCAATTATTAATTAATTTTTCTCTCAACATAATTAATTAATTTAACAATAAAAATAATTCTAGAACAATTATTCCAACTATTAAATAAACATACAGAGTATATGCCCAAATTTAGCTAGGACCCTAACCCATACTAAATATCAACAGTGCATACAATAAAAGAACATTTTATTAAAAGTTGTAAAATAAACTTACAACCGAAAACAGAGCCGGGGCCTCTTCGGGACAACCGGGACAAAACTAAACTAAAAATATTAAAATATAATTGAAAACGGGACTAGAAAGGAGGTCTGGGCCTTAGAAGACCCGGAGGAAGGTTGATGATAGCTTGCTTCTCGCCGATCTGCGCCTTAAATAGGCGTGGGATTTTCCGGGGCGGGGTCCCAGGCGGCCGCCCGGCAGAGATAGTGCGCTCGGCGGCTGATTTAGGAGATTGGAGTATTATTTTTGTTTTGTTTCTTCCTGTGCTGATTAGGGGTGGACACGGTACCGGTACGGTACCGTGACCGGCAACGGTACCGCCGGTACCCACCACCGTCATCTCCGGCCGGTACGTTCACCGGTTCCGGGAACCGGTACCGGAACCGTCCCATCCGGTACAGGTTCCGGTACCCATTTTTTGGTACCGGCACCGGCGGTTCCGGTTCCGGTACCTATTTATTGTTTTTTTTTGACTTTTCGTGTCCATGGGTTGCAATTCTCAAAACTCTTGCATTTTTAGATTTTTTTAAAATGCAATTCTCAAAACTCTTGCATTTCCGCTGCAAATCTCCCACTGGGTAGTAGGACATTGATGAAACCACAGCCACTAGGAAAGGAAGCAGCAATAGACCAAGATGCGAAGCTTACAAATTCCCTATCCGGGAAAAGAAGCAGGTCAGCCCAAGGGCATGAAACTCTTGTATTTTTCGGTTCCGATATGCCAATTTCTCAAAACTTTTGCATTTTTAGATTTTTTTATTTCATTCTTTCCTTTAACAATTTCACATTTACAATTTTACACTTTAAAAATTTAATAAAAAAGTAAAAAAATAATAATTTGGGGGTGGCCGAAAACCGGCCGGTCCGGTACCGGTACCAAGGGGTGGCGGTACCGGAACCGGCGGTTCCGGAACCAGAACCATCCCGGAACCGTACCGTGTCCACCCCTAGCGCTGATGCGTTATCCTCTTCTTTCAATCTTTCTTTTTTTTTATCTTTATATGATGATGATTGATGATGGTGGCTGACAGCTGGAACAAGACGCCACCCACTTGCTGGCTGCTGAAGTTGGCCGGCCAGCCAGGGCGCGCCACGTGGCAGCGCCTGGTTGGCCGGATTTTGATTTGGTCCGAAAATTTTTTCTAAAAATGCTATCTTGCCCAAAATGTTATTCTGAACAACTTTTTCTTCTGCGCCGACTTCAAATTCCGAACCAATTTGGGTCAAAACGAATTAATTTGAATCAAAACAACTTTTTTTTAACTTTTTCTTTTCAAACAATTTCTTTTAGGTACTTTTACAATCCGTTTGACCTCAAATCTCTTGACGGGGTACATCTCCACAATTGAATATACAATTTTCACTTCAAGGATTTTCACCATCTTTTGTCTCCTTTGCTCCGCTGCATTCCATTTGCACAATCTTTTACCTTTTCATACCACTTTTGACTCAATTTTTATTCTTTTTAAAACTAGACATAACTTTTGTGCACTTTTACAATTATGAATAAAAACTTATAAAAACTATTGAGAAATTGATTTGTTTGATCTAAAATTGGACAATAACACATTAAATATAGAGAAGATAAGTGCGTATAAAACGGACTTATCAATTGTCTTCCAGGCCAAGTTCATGGCATTAATTGATAATCGTAAAATAGTCACCTCGTCTGCCGATGGCCAGGTAATGCAGTTATATGCTATCTCATACCTTCATCATGTGCATTAGCCCCATTAAAAAAACCTTGCCATTTTCCTACACAGACAATGAGGATGGTAAACACTACACTGCCGAAGACACACACAAAAACAAAATATGAATGAATACCAAATCCCTATTATTTCCCTAGAAAATCTACTTTCATTTGAACTGAATTGGGAAGTTTATATTGTAAGCCGAGTCTTAAGTGATCCATTGAAAGAAAAAATTACAGATGACTACAAAGATGGTTCTTACGGAGTTGGGTTTGAGAGGGCTAGGAGCAAAAACTACAATAATACTGTCATATTCATATTCAAGAAACATTGATACATGCAGTGGGTTGGACAAGAAAGAATAACTTAAGGACCTACTCCTTGCTCTATAAATTAGTTTGAAAGCCAAGGTACTTTCAATCTCTAACACTCTGGGTAAAAAACAACACTATAACCTCATTCCATACTAAAACATAGGCCTTAGGTCTAATTCTAATTCTGACAAATGATAACAAAGGGATTGATGATATGTAGTTCCTATCCATTCTGTTCACTAAAAATGTGAATAAAGTCAGAATTTAATTGAAACAAATGAAATATATTCTGTCAAAAATTGCTTATGCATATGGTGTTATTTATATGACATTCTAGGTGTTAGCAGAAAGTTTCATTTTGCTCTTATTTTGTAGTTCTTTTACAGTGCATGCTTTAGGGATATCGGGGAGACATGTTGGGTTCTTAGGGTGGCGTAGCCATTTGCTTTTTGCCATTTTTCTTTTTTTTTTCAACGTCTGGCAATTACATTTTTCTTTAAGGGTCAACTTTTAAAAGAAAGTGAGACTATTAATTTGGGATGAAGAGGGTATTACCATTCACATTAGGTATGAATGTGTATGTTAATTATATTTTATAAAAAAAAATCCAGCCTGATTGAGAATTTTTCTTGAACATTTCTAAATCCATGACATAATTATATACTCCCTCCGTCCCACTCTCTTTGTCCACTTACCTTTTGGCACACCATCCAATGCACTTCTTTAATCCATTTTATCTTGTAATTTGTATATTAAAAAATTATAGAAATTATATATTAATAATCTATATGTTAAGACAAATCAAACAAGATCACACATGACTATATTTAGGCTTACACATTGAGAGAATTTGATGAGTCAAAGTGCTTAGATGAACAGTTCCAAAAGTCAAAATTGGACAAAGACAGTGGGACGGAGGTAGTATGAGACTTTTTAGATTGATTTGAAAAATCTTTTACATATTCCATTACATTTTNTATGTTAATTATATTTTATAAAAAAAAATCCAGCCTGATTGAGAATTTTTCTTGAACATTTCTAAATCCATGACATAATTATATACTCCCTCCGTCCCACTCTCTTTGTCCACTTACCTTTTGGCACACCATCCAATGCACTTCTTTAATCCATTTTATCTTGTAATTTGTATATTAAAAAATTATAGAAATTATATATTAATAATCTATATGTTAAGACAAATCAAACAAGATCACACATGACTATATTTAGGCTTACACATTGAGAGAATTTGATGAGTCAAAGTGCTTAGATGAACAGTTCCAAAAGTCAAAATTGGACAAAGACAGTGGGACGGAGGTAGTATGAGACTTTTTAGATTGATTTGAAAAATCTTTTACATATTCCATTACATTTTTGAAATTCATTATGTGTCCGGTTCTCTTCCTTGATTTTAATGCTTCTATATGAGGTATGACGTTTGACTCTTATGTAACCAGTTGCACTACAAGTCTACAACCATTGGCGACAAAACAGGGCAACATGTTTTCATCCCTAAGATATCGCTAGAGATATCTCGCGATGATGATTGTCCCGTTTCATTTAAGAGATTCCAATTCCCAGTGAAACTCTGCTTTGCCACCATCAACATATCACAAGGCCAAACAATGAACAACATGGGCATCTACTTAAAGAAACTTGTTTTCAGCCATGGCCAACTATATGTCGCTTATCAACAACACAAAAAGCCACAAAAGTCAGGAAGCTCATTTGCGATGAACAGAACAAGGACAAATTTACTTCATCAATAGATAACATAGTATACCATGAAATCTTAAAACACATCGACAGAAACGGTATAAAATAGAATCAACAATTTTAAATATATCACACACTAAAAACATACATAAAACATCAACATAAAAACATCATTAACGTTTGCCTATTACAGGTACTTCTGCTCCACACATGACCAGATGACATTAACTACCCAATAACTCAGGTACTAAACACATAATTAATGCGATAAATATAAAAACTCCCTGCCCCCTGTTTGTTTAAATTGTAACTCTTCCTATAAGGTTACATAAGAGATTTCTTTAAATAGAGTAGTATACTTAGGAGTTCGATGTTTTTTCATAGGGTAAATTTACCCTCATAACCTATTATAAAGGAAAATTTAACATAATGAAAAAATGAACTTTATGAGTAGTAGAACTTTTTAAAACTGAGCAGTATATGTACCTAGAAAACACCATATTTCCACCTCTCAATCATCTTCCATAACCTAGCACTATTTGTCCATTAACTAAAACTCTTAAAAATTCCATAAATTTATGTTGCCTGAACAAAACTTCACTTACGAATCTTCACTACCCAAAGAAATTTGTACATTAAGCCTAAATGCTCTTTGCTTTTTGGTTTGATTTTATAGTAATTTTTAGGAATTCTTCTCAATCTCCCGGGGAAGGACGCGAGGTGAAATTATAATCGGTTACATTTTGATACCATTAACTCGCGGTGAGAGGGTTTGATCAATATTGCCGTTGGTATTCTTGCAATTATATAATGACTGATGCATTTCATTCAAATTTTAATTTCAACCAAAATTTCAGATAGGTGTTATTGATACATGTTCTTCCTCGGTTCAATTTTTTAAAAGACTGTATAGTTGCTACTCCTTATTTCTCAACAAACTATTAGTATTTAGAATGGTGTTGAATGTATTATTCTCTTTTCAACCTACAATTTGTTGTTTTATTTTCGGAATCACTTCTCAATTTAGGATTGTTCTCTTTTCCACCTGCAATCTGTTACTTTTTGTGTTGAATGTGTTATTTTTGTTTTTACTGCAATTTGTTGTTATGTAGAGCATCTGCATTCCTTATGATATATGTAGAACATGTTGAGCATATGCATTCTTCATAATCCGTGGAACTGGAGAACTACGTGCGTTAGAAAATCTAATGGTTGAGTGGTCATCGCAAGAAGATTGAATTTGAAGACTTGTGAATTTTTGTTGTGTTGTTCATGCCGTAGCACAACATCAAAGGAGAGCTTCATATCTCTATTGGCTAACGCTTAATACTCCTCCACAAGATGGTGATGAGGATGCTGGTGATGATGATGTAATCTGTAAACTTTATCCCAGCATTTTGCCAAAGTTTGCAAGGCTTAAAGTTTCATCCCAATCCAGCCCACTCAATTATTAGTGTCTATGTTATGGCCTCTTCTTACATGTTTTAAATCAGGATTACAACAGAGTAGGTGGTAGATCTTCTGTTGATATTTTCTTTGGTAGTGGTTGAGGAATATGTTTCATTTCAAAATAACTTTGTTTTACACTTTTACCCCTATGTTGAACCAGGTGAGATATTTTGTATCACTCAGGCCATACTGTCATCTTTGTTTTCTTATGCGGGGCTAGAGTAGTTTAGACTCATGTGCTTATTTTTTCTATGCAATTTGTGATCTTGTAATTTAGACACATAAGCTAATAAAAATCTTTTGGACTGTCCTGACTACTTGAAATGGATCTTGATGTATTTGGTCTTGTAATATCTGTCTAATCATCCAGTGTTCCATCTAACTTTCAGTCTTTCAACTATGCTGGGAGTAAATGGTGCTGGGACTTGACACTGACACCTCAATTTACTCTATTATATGCTTACACTAAACAGTCTTATAAATTTTCCAAGCTCTGCTCATGTATTGTTTGATTGTTTCAAAGTAAGGCAAATTCTACCTGGTACTCCAATGCTATTTCCACTTTTAATCTCAATATCTTGCCTACCATTTGATTGCTTGAAAGCCTTTGCTTGAACATCACAACAATGTCAAGGTGGCGGTCTATTATATTCCATTTGCAGCATCATTTACCTACTGTATTCCCAAAATGGTTTGTGTTAAGTTCATGTTATATGAATGATATTGATGGTTTGATATCCTTCATTATGGCGAACCTTTTTTGTCGGCATCTTTTTATCCTTTGAGCTTAATGTGTTGTCAATTTAGTTTTGTATTATTCAAAGTTTTTTGCTATCCTATGTTGTCTCAAATGAGATACTCCCTCCGTCCCACTATATTTGTCTACTTTCATTTTTGCACACCATCCAATGCACTTCTTTAATCCATTTTATCTTGTAATTTGTATATTAAAAAATTATAGAAATTATATATTAATAATCTATATGTTAAGACAAATCAAACAAGATCACACATAACTATATTTAGGCTTACACATTGAGAGAATTTGATGACTCAAAGTGCTTAGATGAACAGTTCCAAAAGTCAAAACTGGACGAATATAGCGGGACGGAGGTAGTACATTTCAACATAATTCTAAAAGGCTTGCTTTCATCTCAAACCGTGTCATATCCCCCTTAACCTAGGGACATCTCCAATATTTATGAAACATGAGGATGATGAAGACCTTATTATGTTGGAATATGATTATCAACAGGTTGATCGAGCTCAAGCTGTGCAGGATGCTAAAAACATGCCTCGAAGTACGTTGGGTTATATAGATGACAAAGCACAGGCTGACTTCAAGGTGATGAACTATAACCTTTTCTTAACCAAAAAGATACATCCTGAGGAAAAGATCATGTGATTAGTAGCTCAGGTAGAATCATTCTCATAACGTGTTCAAAATAATTTTTGATTGTTTTACTTGTTTAAATCAGAAAATTTCATATTTGCATCCCCGTGCTCACCATAACGTTTGGTTATCCATCCCATGCATTGTTTTCTTTGATTTTTCACCTGAAGCCCAGTGGGGGGATGAAAAATGTTGAAGTAGAGCACTTGCAAAAAGCGAAAATGTTGGGCTAAACCCTACAAATACTAAATCTCATTCTTGAATTTGGCCAATTAGTTCAGCTGGTTAAAATTCAAAATTATCTTAGACTTTTGGAAATTATTGTGGCGGGTTAGATAAGTATGGACCTATGGAGTATCCTCTTAAGCCAAAGTCTTAGAGACTAAGACTTCACGCGCCTTTTGAAAGATTTGTCAAGTACACTGCTCAGAGTGATATAATGAACTCCATTCCATGGAAGCAGATGTTAGCAATTGTAAACTATGGTAAATATTTAAAGATGCCTGGTGCATAACTCTATATGGCTTGGTTTTCCTGGTTTCCCCAATAATCCTTGAATGTACTTACCCCCTCCTCCCAAATTGGATATTGGATCTTTAAAATGGCTAGAGAATGAAAAGAATTGTTATGGAAAGTTATTTCTTCGTGTTTAGGATCTTGTTTGATATAAACTTTTGGTGTAATCACTTGATACAGTTCTATAACTATTTTTTGTTTATGGATTATGATGTGTTTTCATAACTATTTTCCAAGTGTTTTTCTTTTAAGAATAACTTAAAAAGAAAAACAAAATGATTATTTAAAACCCCTGGACGTGTTAGACTACACATTTTATATGAATGTGAGCAATATCCCATTCGAATAAATCCACCATAATTGAGACCTTTTGTCTTGCAACTTATCTAAAACTATGACATTCACATTAGAGTCACTTTTTAAAATTTAAATTTCGTACAATACATCAAATTATACCAACAGAAATAAGAAAGTCTACACATCACCGTGTGTGAGTGTGTGTGTATATATATATGTGTGTGTGTATATATATATATATATATATATATATATATATATATATATATATATATATATATATATATATATATATATATACGGTAAGCCTAAAATGACACCAGTGCTACTGGTGTCATTTGCTTACACCAGTTCGTTTGGGGTACCTACGGTGCTCCGTTTGTAAAAACGACGATTCCTACCCCCCTAACCCTCCCCCTAAACCCCCCACCCTAGCCCCCTCNACACACATATATATATATGGGATTGACTCCAGTGAGATGACACCTTGCGATGAGATGACACAAAGCTCACCACATTAAACTGCAAAGCTCATTAATGGCCAATCTATAGCTCATCTGGAAATAAAGAAAAGCTCACCACTTTGAACACCAAAACTCACCTTTTTTTAAATTTTAAAAATTAAAAAAATAATTAAAAATAAAATAGCAACACCGGTCAACCACCGGTCAGCAGCGGCGGAGACCGGCGACGATCGGTGGCGGCAGTGGTCGGAGGTCGGTGGCGGAGGTCAGCAGCGGCCGGCGGTGGCAAGCGGTGGCCGGTGATGGTCAACGGTCAATGGTCAAAGTTTAGTCAGCATCCCTTCCTTTGATTTTATTTTTTCAAAAAAAATTTAAAGTGTTGAAAAAATATGGTGAGCTTTGTATAACAGTTTGGTGAGCTTTGTAATTGTCTTTGATGAGCTTTGCAGTGACTAGTGGTGAGCTTTGCGTCATCTGACCGAAGCATGTCATCTCATCGTAAGGGGTCATCTGACTGGAGTCAATACCTATATATATGTGTGTGTGTGTGTGTGTGTCTATATATATATATATACACACACACACTCTAGATTCGAAACATACTCTAGATTCGAAACATACTCTAGATTCAGAGCTTCCTATAGACCAGGACTGTAAGAATATTATGGATCAAATCATCAGGGACAACTATAACATTTTCAGAAGATGTATAGCAAACAAAAGAATTCTAATAGCTCTAAATAGGGGTGAGGTACTCAGCTACTCAGGGGAAGCTATTAGGGTCACTAGAGAAGCAATGAAGAGTTTTGAGTTCATAGATGCAGCAACATTTCAGGGTTCGAAATACCCAGTTTTCCTTGCTTATGCAAAACAAGACATGAAGGCAGTTCTCAATCATCTTTGTGGTAATCAAGAATGAATAGGGAAGTTATCTGACCAAGGAATTTACTTCACTTTGAAGAGACAACAAGGGTTGTTTGTATCTTACTTGAGAATTCAATTCAGACTGCTTATTTTCCAGGGTTAGAGTTTCCTCTCGTTTGGGTTTTAATAGGGTGAGATAGTCAGATAGCCATGTAATGCTCTGTTTGTATTTATTTTCAGTTTTTCAGATTAGGGCTTCTTTAGGGAACCTCTTTTTTTCTTGGTTTGGTCTATGCCAGATTGTGGCTTTTGGTAGCCACTGGCTAAAGGTTTTAGGAGCCAGAGGTTAAGAGGGTGAATAGCCCAGGCTTTAGGTATGGCTCCTTCTGATTTAAGAGGGAAAATGGTTGGTTCCCTCACTATCGCAAGTGTTTCCCTAGCTACTGGGAAGGCAATAAGAAGACATTTCTTGGGTTGTACTGATAACCAGCCACTATGCCAGACAGGGATCCAGCATTTCTTCGCTGCATTATTGTACCAGACAGGGTTTTTGTTTGGTGGTTGTTTGTTTTTCTTTTCTAGTTTCCTTTCTCTTTGGCCAGTTTGTGGGGTCGGCCTCCCCTCCCTTGTACTTCTTTACTTTTTCTTTTAATAAAATTTCTTTCCTATATATATATATATATATATATATATATATATATATATATATATATATATATATATATATATATATATATATATATATATATATATATATATATATATATATATATATATAAAATCTTAAAAAAGAACATTTAGTTTTACAGAAATTTTTTAGAATAGTACCCTAGTCTTATAAAGTCGATCAGTAATTCGATAAAAGTTATATTGTTTACTCAATCCTTTAATATAATAAAGGAGACTTGGATTTACCAGAATGCGACATTTGGCATGCTTATTTGGCAAAAATTGGACAATTTTTTACTGCCTGCGCACCAAGGGATAATTGATCGCAAATTTTGAAGGTCATCGCCGATGCGATAATTGCTGGTCATCACTTCCTTCAATTCCATAATTTCCATCGACGTTCACTAGCGGAAGATCTGCCGAGATGACTGCTGAAGAATTTCGAATTCAAAAAAAGTGCTTTCCGTGTGTTCGCTGGCTGAAGATTCGCTGTATGATTCCAAAATCCTTGGCTGGAGATTAGGGATTTCCGTATGTGAGAAATCAATCGAGAGATTATGCCTTCAAAATTTGGTAAGTCCGATTCACAAATTTTGCCTTGGAAAGTCCTATTCACGATTATGATTTAGGTACCAAATTTAGGAGATTTCTTAGTTCTTTAAGTATATATCACCTTGGCCTAAGTTCATTTCAATTGGGTTCTTCTTCATTCGAAAATTTTGCCTTGGAAAGAAAACTAGAAGTAATTTGTTTGCTAAATCGTCATGTCTTTCAAGCCCATTCATCCTTTATCCAAAATCAATCCGACAAGTGAGTGTTGGAAGATTTGTGTTCGTGTGATACGGTTGTATACGTTGCCTGCCTTCAATGATAACAAAGCAATAAACTCAATAGAGATGGTATTCCTCGACGAACACGTAAGTATATATATCATATCTTAAATACTCCCTCCGTCCACAAATAAAGTTCTCATTGCACGTTACGATGTTTGACTGAAATTATTTTCAAATCATTTTATATGAAAAATGGTATGGAATTAAAAAATAAAAATTACATATTTAAAAACTACATGAAAAGATCTACAAAACTAGAGGTGACATGATTATATTATTTTATCAAATAAGACACAAAAATAAGCCAACAAAGTTTATAAAGTTTGACCTTGTGAATAGTGAACAGGAACTTTATTGTTGGACGGAGGGAGTATTTATACAAGTTTAGCCTCTGTTCCAAGTTTTTATATATTTCAAGTTTTACTTCGACTGATGTTTCTGTCTATATATTGAACTTATGATAAGTGTCTTTCTTTAACCAATATTTTAATGTGGTTAAAAAAGGTATATATATATTCATTAAAAATATAGAAAAAGAAATCATGTTTTGCTGATATGGATAGAAATGCCACCTACACTCCTGTGTGGAATAAACTTACCATTATGTTCTTAAACACAAATTTTTTCTTTAGCTTATTTGTGCTTTGCTTTGTATTCAATGTCTGCAGCATGTATGTGTAGTCTGGTGTAGTGGTACTACTGTATTTGTGACTTGATTTTGGGAGATGAAAAAAATATTTTGCTTTCTGTTCAAATTTTTTGAATGAGAGAGAGAGGGGAAACTCTTAGGTACTCTTTAAATACATTTTTAGAGGGCAGTTTCCAAATGGGCATCTAGATGGGTGAAAATGATTTATGAAAATAGAGTGCATTTTCCAAATGCGCATCTAGATGGTGGATGATGAAAATGATGGGTGAAAATGATTTAGCTTGGGCATTTTCCAAATGGGCTCCATCTAGAGGGCATTTTACTTGCAGATTAAAGTTGAGTTTTAAACTGAACACTTTTTATGACAATTAAAAGCTCATCAATAAATTTGTGGCGCAGTGGTTCAAATTTAATTTAATAACTGCATAAATAAATGACAAATTTTATAGACGTAAAGTAAGCAATCCATGAATAGGGGATCAAATCTCTCCAGCAAAGTATAGACGTGGATGAATCCTGCTCTGCATTGTCTTCAAGTAGATCTGCCCATTAGATATGGGAATTAATCTCAGTCATCAAAATGTTTATTAGCTTGATAGGTCTCAGGGTAACCAAGAATATCACATGATAATGATTGTAGAAACATCCCCATAGAGAAAGGATAAAGAAAAAGTTATATATACATTAAAAAATAAAAAAAGAAATCCTGTAATTTATATTTTAATGTGATTACAGTTCTACGGAATTATTTAAACCACTAAGTCATACTCTTAGGTACCATATTTATCCTACGAAATTAAAAAGGATATCCTGGAAGTCGTATTTTAATGTGATTACTAATGATTTTTATTTTTTTATTATATAGGGGACTACGATTCACGCCACTGTCCGAAGAAGTTTGGTAGGAACTTTTGAGAAAGTCATAAATGAAGGTTCAACGTATGTGTTTGCTTATTTTGGTGTAGGCAACAATAGTGGTAATTATCGCACATCAAGGCATGAGTTTCGTCTAAACTTCCAACCAAGGACAACTGTCACTACATGTAGTATGGAGAAAATTCCACTGTATGGAATTAAGTTGGTTGCTTTTCCGGATATATTTCAAGCTGATTCAAATTATCCATACTTAGTTGGTGAGATTGTTTGCTTTTCTGTTATATATGATT